AGGAATGCAGACACACAAGGATTCTCGCTCCCCCTCCGCTTTTTTTCCAAGCAATTTTTTACATTAAATTGTTTATCCACCTTCCCTGGAGAGATTGTCACTGTCAGCTTCATCGTCACAGTCTGTCTCTGCAGCCAACACAACTCTAGCGCTTGTTTGGGCTGAACTCCCGTCCAGGCTGAGTAATATTCACAGAACTGGTCCCAAAAACGGTGAGTAAGGCTTTGAAAGGACACAGCATGGAGGCTCAGAAAAAGGGTCCTCGCTAAGACTTCACTTCCTCTGTGAAATCCCTCTTCCTGAAGCCTTACAAGGGCATCCCATAACCGACAGAAAACACCATCCAGACGAGACGTGATTCTCACACATTACTCAGCCTGGCTTCATTTTGCCTCTGGTAAAATACACCATCGCATCCGTCTGTTCCCTGTCATATACTGAAAAGTATTTATCTAGTTGCTAACAAACATCAAGACCTACACACCTTCAAAAAACACACCACTTCTTCCTCCCATGAATCATTCAACACCTTGCATAAGTGTGGGGGTAATATGGAACTGTTTCGTATGTGATCACTTCAGAAAAAATTGGTCATAAACCTACCTGAAATGCAAACATAACTCAGTTTTAAAGCATAAAGATCTGGTCAAGAAATTCCTGCTCTCAATTTCTTATTGCAGTCCCTGCACTGCAATTCATTCTCCCTTCTGTCTTAACCAGACAATTATCAACAGCCCATGTTTTAATATGCTTCCAGATACGATCTGGGGGGAAAATGCCTTCTTTCTCCCAAAAGGAGGGTGTTTTGGCACAAGAGGAGGGGTGGCTCAGTGCTGAGGGAACTGGATGCTCTAGCTACACTCTCAGGTTGTAACTTCCCACTCGTATTTTTGTAATGTTTGGAGAGGTTTAGGCTGTATGTCAAATTAGAAGCTTAACAGACCTAACAGACCTGGTTCATTTTTGAGTAGGACTCTGGGCAGAAAGGAGGAGGTTAACAAGCCCAAATAAACAAGAATAGCGGGGCATTGCAGTCGGTCTGGGTGCAGTGATCTCCCCTGCCATTATCCGTACCATCTTCCTGGTGAGGTGGAACAGTGATCTAGAACATGTGAGGTTTAAACATCATTAAAGGACCGCTCAGCCTTTTCAGAGAGACAAGTACACATCCAAATCAAATAATCCCTTCCCCTTACCTTTATTTTGGATGCATACATTGGGTAGGGTGCCAAGTCTGGGATACTAGGGTGCAGCTCCCTGCTGCAAAGCAGCCCTTCATGGGATCACCATATGTATGGCAGTTTTGTCAGCACAATTATGTCTAGTAGGAGTGTGAATGCAGCGTGCTGGCAAAGCTCCTCCGTTATTACCAACATGGTGACAAAACAACAGCTTGTCAGCTGAGCTATATTTGTCGGGGCAGATAGTGGAGCTGAAATCACAGTTATGCTGTGGAGTTAAGACACTTTCTAGAGACAAACTCTGAAAAATCAGTTCCCATCTGTAAGACAGGGATAAACAATATATGGTCTGACCTCCACGTAACATTCTTAAATTATTTTGATTTTATCTTGTGACCTTACTTCACAGAATCACAGAATCACAGAATAGTAGGGGTTGGAAGGGACCTCTGTGGGTCATCTAGTCCAACCCTCCTGCTG